AGCTGTGTTGCAAGCTATATTACCCCCAAAACAGCTGTGTTGCAAGCAATGTTACCCCCAAAACAGCTGTGTTGCAAGCAATGTTACCCCCAAAACAGCTGTGTTGCAAGCAATGTTACCCCCAAAACAGCTGTGTTGCAAGCAATGTTACCCCCAAAACAGCTGTGTTGCAAGCAATGTTACCCCAAAACAGCTGTGTTGCAAGCAATGTTACCCCCAAAACAGCTGTGTTGCAAGCAATGTTGCCCCCAAAACAGCTGTGTTGCAAGCAATGTTACCCCCAAAACAGCTGTGTTGCAAGCAATGTTACCCCCAAAACAGCTGTGTTGCAAGCAATATTACCCCCAAAACAGCCGTGTTGCAAGCAATGTTACCCCCAAAACAGCCGTGTTGCAAGCAATGTTACCCCCAAAACAGCTGTGTTGCAAGCAATGTTACCCCCAAAACAGCTGTGTTGCAAGCAATGTTGCTTCCAAAACAGCTGTGTTGCAAGCAATGTTGCCCCCAAAACAGCTGTGTTGCAAGCAATGTTGCCCCCAAAACAGCTGTGTTGCAAGCAATGTTACCCCCAAAACAGCTGTGTTGCAAGCAATGTTACCCCCAAAACAGCTGTGTTGCAAGCAATGTTACCCCCAAAACAGCTGTGTTGCAAGCAATGTTACCCCCAAAACAGCTGTGTTGCAAGCAATGTTACCCCCAAATCTGATAATGATTTTATACTGGCTTCTTAAAGCAACATTGTTTGCAATAAAGCTTTATTCATCACAAATCATGACCTCAGCAATGCATTATAATAGTTGAGTGTTCTCTTTATGCCTTATTTTCACATTCATTGTTTGTCAACTTTATATATCAACTGTTACTTTCAAACGTTGTGTTTATGTTTGTATGATTTTATTCAAAATGGCCGACTATTCCATGTCTGTGCTCACTTATTTCTCCAATGCTCTATGACTGATGATGTTTAAAATTGGCTGCGTTTATCTTTTAATTGTCAATAGTTCATATTAGGCTAATTATGTGATCTGAAAATGACCATTCCTTGGCTTGACAACTGGTATTTTAGGCTTTTCCATGCAGAAACTCAAAAGAAAATTGTATGAAGCACTGCAGTTGTGAGAACCTTTTACTCCTTGTCATGACGTGGAAGATCTGTTTGAATTTTGTAAATTCATCTTGACCAATAGGACTAATTCTTTGAATTTTTTTTTTTAGGTGCTTTTGTGCCATTTTCATCATACATGTCCAAGGAGAAACAACAGTCATTAAGTTCAAGTACTTCAAATAGGACTCAATCTATTGTAAACACTTCACTTTTAAGATGCAATATTAAGTCTGTTGGATGTAAGAGGAGAATTTTAGACCACTCTTTAGCATCATCAAAGCGTCTGAAAGTTGATCACCATTCTGGTATAGAACGCAAGGTTTCATTCCACATTCATGACAAAAGAATGGAAATTCCAGTTTCAACAACTGCATATCAGGAACCTGACAGGCACCCAAAGGATAGTGAAAACAGTGAATTGAAGACATGGCATAAATCAGAACCTACAAACATTGATTCTGTTGTGGTTTCAAATTTCAGAAAAAGTCTGTCTGAGTCTGTTTCCAGTACCAGTCCTGTAAATATGCATACCGAATGCAAGAGTAAAGACACCTGTGTGACATCTCCTGTCTGTAAAGAGAGTACAGTAGTTTCTGACACTGCATTTAAAGGCTTCCTTACAGCTTCCCATAAAAAAATTAAAATATCTCAATCATCAATGTTGATGGCTAGAAAACTAATGAATGACATAGCCTCTGTGCCCGACGATTCTGAAATGCATGCTTTCACTTTTGCGGGTGACAAGGGTAATCCTCTAAATAAACTGGTGGTTGTCACACCTGTTAAAAATGACTCTGCGACTGAAATAACTAACAGTCGTGATATGCCAGTTATTGCTGATTTCAATTCCACCATTGGTAGAGCTATTGACAAAACTGAAGATACTGCAAAAGTGACTCATTCTATAATTTGTAATGCATCTTCAGCTGACTATCCTGTAAATCAAGGACTCCCTTCTACCTCAGAGATTGTCCTGCTAAATAATCAGAAAATCACCAGTGATCTTAAGAATGGGAATGACTGTGGAATGAGCTCCAATATCAGTGGTTTCTCCTGTGCAAGTGGCAAAACAATTAGCATATCATCTGCATCTATACAGAGAGCAAAGCAAATCATAATGGACATTGACAATGAAGAAGCTTCTTTTCCTAGTAAGTTTGTCAATGCTACAGAGACAACTACATCAGTTCAAGGCTGTAGCAAACTGCCAAAAAGATTCAAACCTTTTAAACCTCCAGCACCAACAAACAATTCAAAAGACAGTGAGGAGACAGTGGTTAGAAGTCTACTTGTTGGTTTAAAATCCTCTTGTATCAAAAACAATGATTCAACAGAAACAAATACATCAAACAGGACATGTTGCGAGTCTGAGAAAGATTTGCTTTGTAATGAACAGTTGACATGTAATGATAGCTTTGCTGATGACATGCATACATCCACGCAGGTTGCAAAAGAACTACTGGCCGTTGAAGAATTTGAACTTCAGTTGGCTGAAATGAAACAAGAGGAGTCCAGTAATAGATGCAATAGTAGACTAACCTTGAATGAAGTAGAAGTTGTGATGGACACTAGCAATGACCACATGTCAACCCTAGAAAAGAAAGAGCAGATAGCTGAATGGCAAAATGTCCAAGATCTTGATTCATTTGGCTCTGAAGACTGTGAAGTAGTCTTCAATTTTCATAAGAATATTGAAGCAACTGCTGCCAAAGACATTGAATCTTGTTGTGATAATAACAACACAAAGAGTAGGCAAGTAAAGGTCAATGATGTGTTGTGTAATAGTAATATTTCTGATGATTTTAAAGCATTCAGTGATCTAAATTTCCCCAGTGTAGAGTTGACTTCTAAAACAGACAAGGATAAATATGATAAGACTTTTCAAAATGCAAGTGAGAAGAATGTTCCAGGAAAAGTGCATCTAGTTCATACTGAAGAAATACCTGTCAAAGGATTTGTGGGTTTTCAAACTGCGAGTGGTAAAGGTGTCAAAATATCTGAGAAGGCGCTTAAGAAAGCTAAAAGTATAATTTCAGAAGTAGAAATGGAGGAAGATAGAATGGCATTTGAGATAGATAATGGTGATACTGTATCCGGTGAAAAAGTAGATAAAATCTTGGATAAAGGATTACAAAATGTCCAAAGATGTCCATAATGACATGACTGAAACAACTAATCATGCCAGTAGTAACACAAGCA